TCGGTTATATGTGTGTGCCGGAGAGCTCTTAAAATAACTTTCACACCTAGCACAATACACATATTGGTCTGTGTGAAAGACGGTTTTAGAAATTTCTTGTCAAATCTATTGTCAGATCCACAAGTTCAATGAATGCCCTAAATATCCCCGAAATGCCACATGTCTGGACTTCGAAACATTCAGACCCAGGACTCTCGGATTAATGGCGAGGGCATGGGACTTTTTGTGGACAATGATGGTTGAGGCACGGAACAAATGTTATGACATTACGGTAGCAGTGGCTACTAGGGTCTGGGATGGAGTAACATGTATGGCCGAGTGGATCTGGAATAAAGTTTCGTGGATGGCTGCAAGGGTCTGGAATGGAATTACATGGATGGCTAATAGGGTCTGGAATGGGGTTACATGGCTGGCTGATGGGATCTGGAAAGGAGTAACATGGCTGACTGAGTGGACCTGGAATGGAGCTACTTGGTTGACCAAGTGGACCTGGAATGGAGTTACTTGGCTGACCAAGTGGACCTGGAATGGAGTTACTTGGGTGGCCGAGTGGACCTGGTATAGAGTTACATGGCTGACCGAGTGGAACTGGAATGAAGTTACTTGGCTGGCCGAGATGATCTGGAATAGACTTACATGGATTGGAAGATTGTTTCTTCCTGGCAACTATGTAACTGATGGTGCTGTCAAGTTCTATTATGGATATTTAGACAGTAAGTGAAGAATCCACTTGATCGCTGTGATAATAAATTCGATTGATTCAGTTTTGAGTGAGAAGTGAAGCATCACCCGAATATTAATTCTCCAGTGAATTACTGACCCCTTTCTGTTTCTTTCTATACGGTTCTTTTAGTCAACATCAGGTCGTTTATTTTCTGCTTGAGTGAAAAAAAAAAAGAGAAAAACCTGAAAAGTGTAGAAAAGTAGGTGATAGACTGCTAGAGATTATTAAAAGGCGTTGATGTTTTCGCCACTAAAGGCCGCCAGTTTTCTTGGACCTTGGTATTGTCAAAACTTAACAATGAAGTGTGGTTAATTGGTAGAAACTTAGAATTGTTTTGGTTTGGTTTCTTCTGGCTTGCCCTGTTTAGTCATCTGGTTCTCACGTTTTCTCCAACAGGCCATGTGAATCACATTGAGGCTCGCATTGCTGCCTCCACTTGGCAAGATGTCTTCTACATGATGTCCGCTGTTTTTGTCGTGAATTTTGCTCTCCTTGCCATTTACTTGTTGTTTGCGTGCTCAGTGAACTTCATTCGACGACTATGGTGAGTTGTAAGACGGAAGTCCCGTTGAGCAGTGTAGTCTTCGTTCCCAGTCTACTCTCGTTATCGATAGCGTGACGTTTGAGTTCTCCTTCGTCACTCACCACAGACCTCAAACGTACACTCTATATCTGAAGGTCGCAGGTGATTTTCAAGGGGATTTTGAGCTAATTAGCTGCATGTCGCTACCTTGTGACACAGCAATCGGGCTCTAAGGACAGCAGACAGGTCAGAGACTTGCGCACGCCAGGAAAACGTGCCACACCGGGTCAATAACAGCAAACGCAAATAATGCAATGAACCAATCGTCGATTGAAGAGAAAGAAAACTTCAGTCAATCATCAGCGGGGGAAACATGTTTGGACCAGAAGGGTTTGCATTTGACTGGATTTTGATTGACTACTCCAAACGACTTAAAGGAGCTATATCACAGTTTGCGCATCTTGAAAGTTCAGCCTAAATTTTTCAATTAAGTTCGTCGTTTGTAATCCGTGTTAATCTTCTCCATCCTTGACCATCCGTGTTCCTTTATGGTTTATTATGATCTCTCT